TTTACTCAAATTAGACTGATATTTGTGGAAATCATTGCTAAAATACAGTATTTTATACTCGTATCTGAACTTTTACTTGTTGAATATTTTAGGGGGTTTTAATTCATATACTGGTGCATATGGGGGTTGGTTTCATATGGATATATAGAATCACACTCAGGTTATATGTATATGGTTATTGAAAAGTGGGGTTCTTTTTATATGGATTTATACATAAAGATCAGGATTAATCATTATAATCACCGCATAGAAGTGGTATATATATATATATATTATATATATTGAAAGGGTTCAAACGAGAACACCTTCATTTTACAAGTATACGAGAAAACCCTTTTACTATAGACAATCACATGTGATATTATTATTTAATCACATATGATACACATGTGATACAAAATCAGAGACGCGGCCGATTTTCAGCGCGAATCTTGGTTGCGGGCCAAGTCGCCCTTACACAACTAATCCCCTTCACATATACTATCATATGTGATAAGGATGTTGTTGATATGATACTATAATCCATCAAGACCATCACATGTGATGCTAAATCATAGACGCAGACAACTTTTCGCGCGTCCTAAGTCGTAGAACACGTCTTCCGCATACCACCAGATCCCCTCACGTGTATTATGGGATCACGCGTATTATCACATGTGATAAGGGTGTTCTCGCATTCTCGTAAAATGGAGGTGTTCTTGTTTGAACCTCCATATATATATATATATATATATATATATGATTTCACTAGTTCTAAAAGAATTTGCCAAGGTTGAACATAGAATAAAACAGAGATGTAAATCTGGTATTGAGGGGGACCCATCCCATGCAGTTATTAGTCCAGCGTTTGGTCAAGGCCATCAAGTGGTCCATGTAGTTTAGGTAGTACATGAGAGTGGTGGCGTTTGGGTGTGAACTTTGAGATTGAGGGAATGATCACAACAGTGAGGGGATAATTCACACTTCACAGCATGGTGTGAACAGCTGTTTCGAGAGCTTTGTTTCCTCGTGGAGGAGGGACGGTAGTCATGCAGCAAGCAGTAAATCTGTTGGCGCGGGCAGCAGCTTGTTGTCGGTCTCAGGGGAGATTGTGGGAGGTATCAGCAACTCCGATTGGTACTACAACGTTGGGGAGCTTGGGACAGGACGAGCGATAGCGTTCAAGTCGATAGTGTTGTTGTTTGCCATTTGTAGTTGAGTTTTCTTAGGAGGTCTCAGGTTCAAATCCAAAGAGGAATAAAAATCTTCTTGTGGCCACGAAAGTTCAAATGCGGTGACTTCGGACTATCTACAAAGCAGGTGGTTGTCCTGGGATCTATGCTGTGAATATCGCGATATATCGGATATCGGACCTAGGCAAAATATCGCTGCATAAATATCGGTCAAAGTATCGTCCCCGATATTATCGGCGATATTTTCCGATTTTTCCCGATATTTAGCGATATTTTGATGTATATATCGGACCGATATATCTATTTTTTAGGGTTCAATTATTTGGGCTTTTGTTATTTCATGTGCTTAGTTTTTTGGGCTTGGTGACATATATTATTAGGTCTGAAATTAATAGTCTGTCTTCCAACGGTCTTCTTCCTTTCTTTTCTTCTTTACGAGTTACAACTTCACACTTCACAGACACCTAGTTCACTTCACGAATCACGACTTCAGACTTCTCACAACTTCAGACTTCTCACGGAGTCACGGTTTGGCTTCTTTTCTTGGATGCCAAACCTATTGCTTGCGATTAGCTCGTTTTTGAACACTTCAGATGATGTGATGTTTTAATTTTGAAACTATATTTCTAAACTCTAATTAATGCATATTATATATATAATTCTAAGAAATATTATGTTAACCGTTATTTTGGACCGATATATCACCGATATAACCGATATATCGATTTTTGTATTCTGACCGATATAACAGCATAGCCTGGGATTAGTCGGCTCGTATAACGGGTTGAATATCCAGGTTCATCAAAAAAAAAAAAACTTAGAAAAATCGGAGGTGAATCGTGTTAAATAATAAAAGATTTGCTTAGATTATATCCATAATCTTTCACTCGCACAACCCTAATTTCTTACTTTGCAAGCTACATTTTTTTCTTTAAATACTATATATTTTCCTCGTTGTTCTTAAGTTACTTATAGAGGAATGATTCATATCGTGTTTTTCCCATCTCTTATTAATAATCCCTTTTTAGGATGACGTTTGACATTATCGTTTAATATTGTGATATTATATTTTCCCATGGTTTCATATCATGTATTATCATTTGACATTATGTATGACCTTTGAAATTATGTATGGAGTTTGATATTATCTATCCTTTTTATATCCGTTTTTTATATGTTTGAATTTTTTTTATCTGTTAATAGGATGGATAGTGATGACTCTGATTTGAATGGTGATAATGAAGTAAATTGGGTGGAAGAGGAGAACAAATGGCTACTATCATGTGCAATAGCTATCAAAGGGATAATAATAAGTCATAAATTGAATAGCACGCGTATGCCTTGCCGCACATCTTCTCGCACAGGAAACATATTTATTCATGAAGTACTTAATGGTCATCCTAGACGTTGTTACGAAGATTTCATACTAAATGTCCCGGTATTCAAAATGTTATGTTCAGATATTGCTACACGTTACGGGTTAAAGGCAACACGTAACATATGTATTGAGGAGTCCGTTGGGATTTTTTTGATGACTTTAGCATATAGGTGTGGAAATAGGTTAATTCAAGAAACCGTTAATCATTCTGGAGAAACCATTCATGGGCATTTCCATGCTGTTTTGAAAGTCATGCTTAAGTTAGGTGCGGACATCATAAAGCCAAATGCAAATTACAAAGAAAATGTACCCGTACATATTTTAAACAACTCTCGTTATTATCCAACGATCAAGGTACTTCCTATATCTTGTTTCGTATTTGATCCTATCATTTTAATAGATTAATAAATTATGTTTCTTTATATGTGTAGGATTGTATTGGCGCTATCGATGGGACACACGTAAGGGCATCAGTTCGAGAGCATGATCAAGCGAAATACATTGATAGAAAAGGATATGCGACTCAAAATATCATGGTAGTTTGTGATTTTAATATGTGCTTTACGTTTGCATGGGGTGGATGGGAGGGAACTGCACATGACACACGAATACTTTTTGAAGCCTTACGTAGAATTGAACTTAAATTTTCACATCCAATAGGTGGTTGGTATTTTTTTGTAATAATAGAAACTTTTATGTTTTCATACCATTTGAGACGAATAAAAGTAGTTTGTTTATTTTTTATAACAGATAAGTATTATGTTGTTGATGTTCGATATCCAAGTACTAAGGGTTATCTTGCTCCATACAAAGGAACAAATATTCGTCATTACATACCAGATTTTTATAAATTACGATCAATTAGTTTATTTAATTTTACAAGTTATTATAATTTTTAATTTTTCTACTTTATTGTTGTAATTTTCAGTTATTATACTTTTACTTTATAATTTTAAAATATTGATGATTAATTAATTAATTATTA